AGGCACAATTAATTCTGGATTTTTTTTTTTTAATTTTTATTTTAGCAAATAGCTCATACAGATGCTGCATTCTCTTCTTCYACTGGCTTTATTCATCTTTCATAAACCAGGATTTCCTCGATAATGGCTTGTAAAAGCTCCACAGAGTTTTAGAAATACATTAGCTGTCATCAGTGGTGTTAATCTAACTAGCAAGTCCTCATTTGTATGATGGTACTTTTAACATTATGATTTTCAAAACAACAGTTACAGCTTTGTTTTATGCTTTGAGAAGGAGCATTGACATAACACTGGTGGAATATTAAACAATAATTATTTAATTCAACTCTAGTTAGAAAACTGTTTAAGCTGCTTGTCTAATGCTATYGAAAATAGAGTTATTTAGGAAAATCTGCTTAGTTAATAGCAAAGTTTAAACCTAAGTGTGTGTAATCAAACTGTAAAATTAGTAAATCTGTGTACAGATAGACAGCTTTTATCAAAATTCTTCTTTAGAGATATGATACAGTGAACTTTTACCCCAGGATTAGAACTGCTGTGCAAGCACATAATTCAGCTTCCCAAACTCCAAACATCTTCACTGAGAAGTGTTTCTAGGGTATTTGCTGAGCTTATGCAAGACTCATTTAAATTCAAAGAGAAACACTAGAAAGATGAAATGAATCCCAGGTGCTCTTACACTCCAGAAATAGATGCTTTAAGACATGAACAAAGAGAATTAGTATTAGCAAGTGTACTGGAATCCTCTCTTCCCCTGGATTCCTCTTACTTAAGGGCATGATGTTATATATATCGCTATGGWAGTCCTTCACTTCTTAATTATACATAACATTATATTCCAAACTTCTGAACAAATTTTTGAAAGGAAGTTTGTTACGAAATCTGATTGTTGGTGGATACTGCTGGCTTCCAAATCCACACGTGGCAAAAAGCCCCGGGCACCTAAACCTTCTCTCTCTTCTGAGGGCACATAAAATAATTAAATATGCACAAACTCTTCCCCTCTCTTTCATTTTAAGTGATGGGGAAAATTTTGCCTGTGATCTTGGAATAACTGCCCAGGAACCTGTGTGCTATGTGGGATGACTTAAAACTACCTCCTGAAACTCCCAGAACTTAATAAAATTCAGGAAAAACTATAGAGCGTTAAGAAAAAGGAGGATGAAAATTTCTACTTTCCACTGAGCTGTGCTCCCTGCTTCACTCTAATGATTCTTAATCTCTGGTCTTCAGTCCTTTCTTTTTACACTGCCAACTTTGAAATGTCTGAAATAGTGTTGCCTATGACCAGATAAGAATATTTTCTGATGGGAGTCACTGTGAGTTCAACTGTTCTCTGAAACAATATTCACTCAATTTCCAGTTATTTCTGTAACATCTTTTGCCTCACCTCACATTTGGGAACTGCCAAAAATGAGCTTCCCCAACAGGTAAAACAACAACATTTTCTGCCAGGAATGACAAAGTCTTTTCAAACAGCCCTACTGTGTCTCAAGCTACCTGCTTTAAAGGACTGATCTGTCGTGGTAACACAGGTGCAACAATATTCTGTATTTCAATAAGGAGAAAGCAAGAGATCGCTCAAAAATTCATCGTTCCAAAACCCAGAAGAGAAAACCAAAAAMGATCTGCAATAACTGCAAGGAACAACATGGAACTCGGCTGTCAGACTGCCTGAGGCAGAGAGAAAGGCTCGGTATTACAGATAAAATATACACTCTATAAAAATAAGCAGGTGAAAATGATATTATAACAAACCACRGAAAGAAAGAAAGTACCAGAGCACACCTAGCAAAGAAACCCAGCTGCAAATCTGTATTTTTCCAGCCATAAAYGAGGGTATGGGGAAGAGAACAGACTCCAGCTTCAGTATAGCAGAACTATGCTATGTATTTAAAACTGAATGGATGCACAAATAGAAGAAAAATATTATCCCAGCTTCCATGAAGGCTTTGTGAGACAAATCACAGAGTGCTTCTTACAGATTTCCTTATTAGGACCTGCCTAARAATTTCATAAATAGTTTACTGGAAAATGATAAGAAATGGGTATCATTACTTCATTAAGCATTTCTTTCTCATAAGGAGGAAAACCCCCTTAAATAGCATGTTTTTACTCACTAGAGGGAGACTGTGTGGACATAAGTAATTTACAAAAAAATTCCTATCCATGATCACTTACAGAAAATTGCAATTCTGTGAAAAGGTGGAAATGAGAAATGAATAATAATAATAAAAAAAAAAGTCCTTTAGCTTTCTCTGAAATATCATTTCAGAGCTTCCCAGCAGAAGGGTGGGAAGGCAGGAACTGGTGGCCATCAGGGACCTTTGCCAGGCTTTGGAAGTGCAGCAGGAGCCTCCAGAGGGCCCTTCCCAAATGTGCCACTGCAAATCCATCCCAATGCCACCACAGCATTGCTGGAGTGCTGTAATTCACCRCAGCGTGAGCATTCACAGCCACAAAAACAGCCTTAGACAGGCAAYCCAGGAAGAAAAATCCACAGAGCTTTGTAAATATGTAGAATTTTGCAGTCCCCAAGTAATACTTTCCTGCCATAGTGTCTGTTGTGCATCTCGTAGTCTCCACTTTTAGCTGTCACATGTTTCCTCAATAAAGGTTTTTCTTCACAGAAGTGTACACTCCAAAAAAAAAAACAAAAACCCTGAGCTATAACAATCATGTCACTGGTCCTACTGTTTACCATTATCTTCAAGGTTTTAGGGTTGATTTACATTGCGTTCCTCCCTRTTTGACTTTAATTGTCTGCTTCAAGTTGTCAGGACATAACTATATCTTAGATTTGCATTGCATTAGGGGATCTTCTCCTTTTCTCTATTGATCTTGTCTCACGGAGTAATTTAACTCCATTCTAATTTCCCCGTGCGTGCAGGGCGCTCTCCAGCCAAGGAAGTGAGTTATGTGTATTCAAGTGGTGCATCTTATGAATCTTGTTAAGCTTTACCGCCTCCCAGCCCGCGCTGATGGAATATTTAATCACAGCAATGAGTTGGCAGATTTGATGTACAATACGGGGAAAGCCTGGCGGCTGCGGCTCCGCCGGCAATTGAGGAACGGGGGAATTTGCCATTCATCAGTGCCATCCTGACAGCTTTGTATAACCTTCTGTTTTTCACTTATTTATGAAGATTAAAGGTACTTTAAATCAACAGTTTCTCGGTGAATGTATCATCTTTATTTCAGAAGTGGCCAAATTTTTCATCGTTTATTAGGAGCTAAAGGAACTTCTYGCGCTGACTGTGGAAAAGTTGGTACAGTTTTATCGTGGCAGTGTTGGAGACAATAATTAAGCCAAATAACTATAACTATGACTGTCTCAAAAATCACATTTCTAATTTTATAATCTTCAGAAATTCTATAGTTTCTCTAAGAAAGGTGGTGAAGGGGAACCCAAAAATAAAGACAAGTTATGATATTCTATTCTGATTCGCAAAAACTGCGGAGCTGTTTTCTGTTTCATTTCCTAACAGCTTTAAGAGATCTGCACAATCTAAACTAAATTGTTTAAAAGAAAGTTTAAATGTTTAAATGTGAGAAATATCATCTTCTAGTCAATATAAAGACAATGCATTTGACATGCATGAAAGAAAGCAGCAAAACCCCAAAYGTATAACTGCCTACATGTATAGACAGAAAAAAAAAAAAAATCTGAAATAAATGAAGTACCTTGATGGAACTTTCTGCAAAGGTGTGGTGGAGTTTGTGTCATAATTCATGAAATTAAATTAATACCCTTCTAATGGTAATTAAAGATTCTCATTAAGAAGGGCAAACACCTCCCTAGTGTTGGCAATAAAAATGCACTTGGGACTTTAGGAGGTTATTCAAAAAAATCAATAACCTGCCATTTTATAATTAAAAGACAAAATAAATGTTAGGGAAAAGTCCAGTAAATTAGGAAAATTACCTTCAGGAGAGATTGAAAATATTGATTTTAATTTACAAACTATGTGAACTCTTCATGCCCTATTTCATGAGACAATTATAAGTCAGATTGTTAATTCTGCATATGTATTAGAAAATTGATTACTGTACTATGGGAATATTATTATATTTGTCATTAACACAAAGTCATTTATATAAAATGACTAATAACTCTGACTTTCTAATTTATGCAGGTTCAGGGCTGGTTCACTAACTACTCAAACGAGATCAATGTTAAATTCCTGCTTTCCACAGAGACATACATCAAGCAAGCAAATAAATTCTGCCTACACTAAATCCTGCAATTCCATGAATGCCAAGTTAGTATTTTTATTATACTGGGCCACTTTTACCCTAATTGGAACACTTCTATTTATCTCAGTAAAGGCACTGGRTGTATTATAGGCAGCTGTTTTAACCACAAACATGTTTGTTACATTGTCCTTTTCAAAAATTTTCATTTCTTGAAGTCCCTCAAACTAACAAAAGCTTTTCAGTGTTGTCTRCTGGAGAAGAAAATGACTGGATCTGTCCAACTCCAAGTTGCAACCAGGATCTGGTCTCAGGTGAAAATATACATTCAAAATACAAACAAATCAAACCGAAAAACTAAATATAGAAGTCAAAGAAAAAATGTTCTGGAAAAAATTATGAATGCAGATACTTTATACCTATGTGTGTCTACATATATGTATGTATAAAAAGTATGTATTTTTATAGATAAGACTTTTTTTGTTGTTGTTCCTTACCAAATAATTCCTGGAAGAAAGTGACTGTACTGAAACATGAAATAAAATAAAATCTCTAGRATATTGCAGTACATCATGTTATACTATCTACTTTCCAATAAAAAAGGTATTAATATATCTCCTGTATAAAGTTTAGTATGCCCAGGTAACATAAAATCTTGGATCACAAATGTATAAATGACTTGTAGATAATGTGAATCACACAAAGAAACCAAACYTCACACCAAGCACACATTCTGGAATTTTGTATGTTTTAAAAAGTACTAAAASCAAATATGGCCAGTTGGACAAGCACAAAGCAATCCTTACCTGCATAGAACTCTGGACTATAAACTGCACCAACAACTGGATTTAATTTCCAGCCTGCAGGAAACAAAACAAAACAAAAAACACAGCAGTTAATATTGCAATTAGTGATAATAATAACTATTATTACTATTACTAATACTGTATAAAAATACAGATAAAGTGACTCCAAGAAAGGTCGCTGTAATTCAAGTTTTATAGGCATCTTTGATTACTGATCTTTAATATCAGAATCTGAAGTATGGAAGTAAGTCATGAAATAAGGCATTCTCCAGGCATGTAGCACTGGAGTAAATGTCCAGGTGAATTATCCTGGCTGAAATGCAGATGGATTGACTTCCTTAGGTTATGGAATTAAGTCAGCACCAGTTCAGGGATCCCCAAACTGTCCAGGACAGAGCAGGTGAGTTCTCAGCCATTGCTTTGGTTCTCTGGGTAGAGCCAGAGAGGCCAGAACTGCTCATTCTCTGCACACAAACATTCCTGATRAGCCTTTGTCAGCTGAGGTGACCGAATAACCACAACATTTGGGTTCTACCCTGGCAAAAATGAAAGCACAGTCACTGGGAATGTCTGCTGTGACAGRAGAGGGAAGCCCTGTGGGATCCAGCCCCATGCCAGGACTGTGTCCCTGGGTGTTTCTACCCCTGGTGTCTGTGCTGTCTCCTAGCACAACCCTGAGCCTGCACTCAGAGCTGATAAACTCAGAAACAGAACCCTGCAAAGCTCTCAGGGGGTTCAAACCAGCCACTGCCTTGGTCTTAAATCATCCCTGTCTTCCCAGAGCTCACAGAATTCTGTACCATGCTCTGGCCAGATTCCAGATTATTTCTTACACTTTACATCCAATGCAGCATTTCCACCCAGGCTGGCTGCAAAGCACGGGTGATGTTAAAGACAGCCAGGCTGCAGGGGAAGGAGCAGGAGAAGAGCAAGAGAAAACACTGAAAACTCRTTATTGTCAGCTGAGGTGAAGTGCCAGTCACTGTGGTTCTCCCAGGCACAGGCAGATCCACTCGCAGCTGACTGCAAACCCCAGAACATCCCCCACCCACACTCTCTTCTTCCTCAAGGGAACAATTATTTTGAACTGCTGGAACTGAAAAATTAGGGGTTTTCCTAAAGCACGCTCAAATCAGGGGAGTGGGAAGCACTTTGTGTAAATGGGAATAAAGAAACAMACCTGAGCAAAAACCATGGTGTAAACTCCAGAGGTATGGTACTTAAAATAGAACTTTTAACTGCTTCTGGAATCAAAATACAACCCAGACACTGACAACGAGGCTTTTCAAAATCACAAAAGCTGAGATTAGAAGAATTTAAATGCACACCAGGTTTATTTCTGCCTTGGCCATATCATTAAATGCAAAAGCACAATGGAAAATCATGAAACACCAAGGCATTATAAGACTGAAAAAGAGTAATGCAAAATCTCAGTAACAAAGTATTCATACTCTTTCAGKCTACTTCTATCTCTATCTGATACACAGTAATTATTTACCACTAATTAACTGTTCAGTAACAGAGGGGAGGGGGTGGTTTGAAACTCATGAGCAGGTCCAGAGTAAGGAGCAGCTGTCCATGACATCTTTCCTGCAGGAGTCACTGCATTGCTCTGTGTACCTAAAGACAATCAGGGAAGCTGAAAAATGCCAGTCAAGAAGGGCTAAAATGCTTTTCCTCCTGAAAATACCACAGGATTTTGACCTGACCCTTCAGTTCTGCAGGCTACAGGATTTTATTTAGGAATGTCAGGGTATAACATATCTCTTAGCCAAATTTTGTGTGATAGAAAATAATTCAAATTTTGRGACTTTTTGTAAAAATCTAACTTTATATAGGCTAGGGAGTATTCAACACTTCAAATTCATTACTTCCTCWGAAGGCCACTGATCAACACCACCCAACATGAAAGATTGGACAGAATTTTAGATCTGTCAGCTTTTGCTGTCAAAGCAGCTGACAGACATCTCTCAGCCTCCAAGTTACACTACCAGTGCCACGATTTGTCTGAGAGAATGAAAAAAAAAAAAAAAAAAATCTTGGAAGACACAGATTGTTCTTCACAGCTGAAAGGCAGTCTCATATTTCAGCTCCTTACCACTCTCCCAGTGACGGCTGTCTCATCTAACTTTTTGAAGYCCATGGAGGAAATACTTCATTCATCGTGAAAATAACAGTAATTAAACTTAACTTTATCTTGTCAGCCAACAATGTGCTGGCCCATAGCTGTGTGGGTTAATCAAGTGTGATGGGAGTTGATGTATCCGAGCGAGCAGCTGCCAAGTAACCCTTCTGCAGCAGCTGGAGGAGGCAAATTCTCGGCTGTGGGTGTAATTTTGYGCATTTTTCTTACTGTCACAATATTAATCTCTCTCCCGAGTTGAAACTATTAAAGCTTAAAAACTTAAAAACCAACCAAGGGAAGGAAAAGCCTCTCAGCYTGACCAGCTCCTCACCCTGTGCAGTCAGCCAGAGAAGCAGATGTCCATCGTGCTGAAGGGAAGGAAATGATCCTGGTGTGACAAGCTGGGGTAGAAAATGGGGTACTGCAACATGGAAAGGATTATTTTGGCTTCATAGACCACAGAGGCCACCATGGGCAGAGAAAGGCTTGGATAGGAAAAACTCTGTGACTCAGTTGCCTTTGCTCCTGTTTGCTGCACAGGTTGGGGAGAAAGGGAGTGGGAGGGAATTTGTCTGTGCTAATAGGCACTAGCTGTCATTTTAAATTTAAATTTAGAGCAGCAAAAGGCTCAAATCCACAGCACCAAAACAAGTATAAACTTTAAAACATATTTATCTTTTACTGATCTCTGTTTCATGTGCCTCCTTTATTGCTGCAGCTCTCTGAATGCCCTTGCCCATAATTCTCCRTACCCTACAACCCTTGGGTGAGCATCCTGAATCACAATATGGGCATCAGAAGAAAGCACAACTGTGAACAGGGCAGGCTGGAACATMTAAAAATGTCTCAAATATTTTTGCCAACGTGTAGCACACTCCTGACATWGAATTTCTTTGCAGAAAGAAGGCAGTTGTGTCTCCAAAGCACGAGGTGAGCCATCAAAATAATCCTGTCTGGTAACAAACCCACAAAGAAAAGCTCTCCTAGCAACTGCTCATTTGGGGAGTCAAAAGTCACTGGAGAACACACTTATCTCAAAGATCATTTAGGACACAAAAGCCAACCACTTACTTGAACAAAATAAAAAATTCAAGTTTTTGTGCTTTGGAATCTACTGACTTGTGCAATCCTATTAGCAACACGGGCYCTGTTATCAAACAACCAGCTGGATGCAGGAGTGAAACACAAAACAGAGCCTATCTTGTTTTTAAATTAAAATAAATATCAGTTTTGATAGAATACAACATGTGCCCCAACTGCCTTTTGAATCCCTGCCAACAACATGCCAGTCACAGCACACACTTGGAAAGATAAAGAGAGGCATTAAAAAGTAAGTGGTCCTGCAGCAAACAAAAAGGCGTGAACAAACAAAATGTTTCTGGCTACCTGCATCAGAGGACTCCTGCAAATTGTGATAGGCTGGTAGAAAMAAGTTTGTTTAAAAGATGAGACCTTTACTTTAAATGACAATAATCTACAATAAATAATCAGCTGTATCACTGGCTAATTCCTGACAAAATGATAAAGAACTAGGCTCATCCCATGCCAGGATGACTGATCGTGTAAGCACTGATGAAACAAAATAAAGCACCTTCCACGTCTGCAATTCAATCCTTGTTGCCTGTGATGATTATGCAACAGGGAYGTGATTGTCCTTGGGTGTTTACTTTAGGGGACTTCAGACATTAAAAGAAAAAAAAAGTTAAAAGAGATGAAAATAATCAAAAGCTATGAGTTGCAGCCAGAGGTTTTCTCGGTAGATACCTAACAAAAGGWGTGCATACAAATATTCTGCATGAAACAAGTTGGGTGTATGGGTTCACAATAAATAAATGTTAATTGTTATTCCCTGAACAGGGTATTTCATACTTTTGGTGAGATCTAGATCAGGCAGAACAGGATGGGAAACGACAAACAAAACACTTCAAGTGGAAAACACTTAACAGCAGGTTTTGCTCATGCTGGTCTTGGATATTAACAAATGATAATGTATRACCTAAGCAATCCTGCAGTGCATGAACCTCCTCTAAACCCACATTGTTAAAAATCTCACATCTCTTACTGCCAGYATTCCCCTCCTTCAGCACTGGCTGTGCTGATATGTAACATGTTATTTGCTAATGAACAGTTTTGTAGCCTTAGGACAGTATGAATACAAAATATGCATCATTTATCGAAAAACTGCTTTTATCACGCAACAGAGCAGGCACAGTTCACAATCTCAGACTGCAATTTTGTACTGCAACAAAATCTTGTTCTGTGATCCAGTCAAGCCTYGCATCTCTCTCCAGATTCACTGGGACACAAAACCAGTAAAAACCAAGGATAATTAGCCACGTTTAACATTTCCATAGAAAATTAGGAAGAAAACAGTTTCTGAGAAAGSATGAGAAATTTCAGACCCTTCTCCAGATCATTTTAACTAGCTCAATTATCACATGTCAAATGAAAAACATCACTGTGTTTTATTTTTACTGTTCTATGAGAGAAATGATGAGCCTTTCATTAAAAAATAAAGCCACTGTGTGGCCTGGATTTTAGTAAATCCTCACTAATGAGACCTCAAATGCAGAAAATATGATCCATTATATTTCAAAATGGAAAAGAATCTAATCGAACTCAGGAAACCTTTATGTGCCCATTTCATCAGCTTTCCACTGGATGRGAAAAACTGAATTAAATTGAAAAGCAAATACCAACACCAATACAGCCTAGTAAAACTGAAAGCACAATTGCAATTAATTTCAGTTCATGTGCTATTCTTTGACATGGCTGAGTTAGGAACTTGTTTCAATCTGAATTTTCTGTAAAAGCAAAYGCACACTCTGGCATGGGATCAAACACTCCCAAAGGAARCATTTAAAAAAGAAAAAAAAGTAGTTTCTAGCCCCCTCAAAAAACTACGGATTCTTTTTCTATCATTCATTTACAACATCACCTCAATTCAGGTCAGTATTAGAAAGAATTTTATTATTCAATAGTTTGGAATTTTGATTGCTACAACAGGGAACAAGCTGGRATTGCTACAACAGGGAAAAAGCACCCAATAACAGTTTGACAATTTTCTAACAGATTGCGGAAGGAAGACACAGAAAATGATCTTTGACTGGATGTGTGCCCTGGTACTGAAAGGTTCTGCAAGAAAGACATCCTTGCTGGTCTCCATCCCCCAAACCAAACTGAATCCTCCCATTGTTTCACCCATCACAACATCAGCACTGCCCAGAGCCAGGATAGACCCACACTCCCCTTTTGGGTTTTCCTCCTCAAAAGCCACCAGGGTCCAACACTGGGGTTCCACTCCAGCTCTGCCCATGTGGCTGTGAATCAGCTGAGCCCTTCACAGATGGAATTAATGCCCAACCCCATCGTGTCTGKGCATTCTGAGCCCGGGGGTGCAGAGTGGGACAGCTCAGGGCAGGTGAGTGCCTGTGGCAGGATGTCCCCCTGTCCCTCTCTCCCATCTGTCTGGAACACAGCAGGGATAACCCAGGCTGGATGGGAAGGGCCAGCAGGGAGCTGTCCTTGGTGCCCAAGAAACTGAGCCTCCAACCAGGAATCAACATCTTGGTGGGGAGGGTGGTTATGGAGAGAGATGACAGAAAATGGTAACGGTGACCAAAATCTCAGTTTTTGCTCTATCAARGATGCACAAAATTTCTAAAAGGCAGAAGCCTCTCACACACACACTGGAAGAGCGTGAAGGCCTCTCCTCGAGGTCCAGATACAGACTTTGCAGTTACTTCTCTGGGGATTGAAGGAAAGGATCTCTGATGTGTGCTCCCAACACCCACTGGACTGGTAATTTTTAATTTTTTTTTTTTTCTTTTTTAAATTCGAACAAATACGACTGAAGCAGTGTTTCAGAGGGGGATCCAGAATCCTAAGTTGCACTATTTCTTTGCCAGCTGAACTGATAGTTACCTTCATTGCACGCTGCATTTTAAATTGCTGTACTTAGTCTGCYAGCAGTTTCTTTTATTTTATTTCTGTGTAGTATATAATTTGCCACAAACTCCTCACTCTGTTATTTTCTTATGTCAAATAATTCATATTATATTAGMCCTAATGGGCTATTATTAAAAGAAMTTGCAAACAAGACYGGGTCCTGGGGTGCTRGTGGCCCTGATAAGGTCACTGCTGGGTGCCAAAGGATGGGGAAAAGGCAAAAATCTATCAAAGCTCCCATCTCCATTTGTAAGAGTGCCCTGTTGAGGGGTTTGGCATGCAGGGACACTGCCCCAAGGCAGAGGGCTCATGCACTTACCGTTCGTGTAAGGGTTGACGGTCTTTTTATTTGTCATTACGCGTGCTGTGGCGTTATTTACCTAAGCACATAGAAGAGCGGATTAGAAAGGGTTACAGGCAGGGCCCGTGTCACTATTCAACGCATGCATTATTACTGCTATTAGTCATGTAAAAATAAAATGCAATTTAATTTATAGAAGGCAACAGGTGCATAACAAAATCATACTATTTATAATTACATTTACTTTCATAACCGTTTTAACTTACAAATCATTTCAATAAAGCAACATCATATCATTTAAACTTTAATAAAAAGACATTAAAAGCAAATTAAAAGGTACTGCATAATTTAAAGACTTAAGAGCATGCTTGTATTCCATGATAACACTGATACAATAAATACTCAAAACA